CAAAGTCTCAGGATACAAAATCAATGTGCAAAAATCACAAGCATTCCTATACACCAATAATAGACAAACAGAGAGCCAAATCATGAGGGAACTCCCATTCACAACTGCTACAAAGAGAATTAAATACCTAGTAATACAACTTAAAAGGGATGTGAAGGACCTCTTCAAGAAGAACTACAAACCACTGATTGAGGAAATAAAAGAGGACCCAAACAAATGGAAAAGCATTTCATGCTTATGCATAGGAAGAATCAATATTGTGAAAATGGTCATACTGCCCAAAGTAATTTATAGATTTAATGCTATCTCCATCAAGCTACCATTGACTTTCTTAAGAGAATTAGAAAAAAACCACTTTAAATTTCATGTGGAACTAAAAAAGAGCCCACATAGCCAAGATAATCCTAAACAAAAATGACAAAGCTGGAGGCATCATGCTACCTGACTTCAAACTATACTATAAGGCTATGGTAACCAAAATAGCATGGTACTGGTTCCAAAACAGATAGCAAATCAGTGGAATGGAACAGAGGCCTCAGAGGCCTCAGAAATAATACCACATATCTACACCCCTCTGATCTTTGACAAACCTGACAAAAACAAGCAATGGGGAAAGGATTTTCTATCTAATAAATGATGTTGGGAAAACTGGTTAGCCATATGCAGAAAACTGAAACTGGACCCCTTCCTTAGACCTTATGCAAAAATTAACTCAAGATGGATTAAAGACTTAAACATCAGACCTAAAACCATAAAAATCCTAGAAGAAAACCTAGGCAATACCATTCAGAACATAAGCATAAGCAAAGACTTAATGACTAAAACATCAAAAGTAATGGCAACGAAAGCCAAAATGGACAGATGGGGTCTAATTAAACTAAAGAGCTTCTGCACAGCAAAAGAAACTATCATCAGAGTGAACAAGCAACCTACAGAATGGGAGAAAAATTTTGCAATCTATCTATCTGACAAAGGGCTTATATCCAGAATCTACAAAGAACTTAAACAAAATTACAAGAAAAAAAAACAAACAAACAACCCTACCAAAAAGTGGGTGAAGGATACAAACATACATTTCTCAAAAGAAGACATTTATGTGGCCAAAAAACACATGAAAAAAAGCTCATCTTCACTGGTCATCACAGAAATGCAAATCAAAACCTTAATGAGATACCATCCTACACCCGTTAGAATGGCAATCATTAGAAAGTCAGGAAACAACAGATGCTGGAGAGGATGTGGAGAAATAGGAACACTTTTACACTGTTGGTGGGAGTGTAAATTAGTTCAACCATTGTGGAAGACAGTGTGGCGATTCCTCAAGGATCTAGAACTAGAAATACCATTTGTCCCAGCAATCCCATTCCTGGGTATATATCCAAAGGATTATAAATCATTCTACTATAAAGACACTTGCACATGTATGCTTATTGTGGCACTATTCACAATAGCAAAGACCTGGGATCAACCCAAATGTCCATCAATGATAATTGGATAAAGAAAATGTGGCACATATACACCATGGAATACTATGCAGTCATAAAAACGGATGAATTCATGTCCTTTGCAGGGATATGGATAAAGCTGGAAACCATCATTCTCAGCAAATTAACACAAGAACAGAAAACCAAACACTGGATGTTCTCACTCATAAGTGGGAGTTGAACAACGAGAACATATGAACACAAGGAGGAGAACATCACACACGGGGGCCTGTTGAGCAGTGAGGGACTAGGGGAGGGAGAGCATTAGGAGAAATACCTAATGTAGATAACAGGTTGATGGGTACAGCAAACCACTATGGCATGTGTATGCCTATGTAACAAACCTGGACGTTCTGCACATGTACCCCTGAAGTTAAAGTATAATAATAATAATTTTAAAAGTTGATCTGAAAAAAAAAAAGATGGGGCTAGAAAAAAGCAGAGTTTTGGCTAAGCTGAGTCTGGAAGGATGAGTAGTTCCCAAAGAGAGAGGACGCGGTAGAGGGAATAGGCAGACTTCCCCGGGTTGGCCCAGGGGAACAAAGGAAGGACTCTGAAGGCTACAAGAAGGGAGCAAATATTACAGCACCAGGAAATGTCCTGAGACACCTGGACCAGGGTCATCCAGAGACTACCAATGAAGGGAGGCCGAAGAACAGGTTAGTTACATTTGCACCGCCTAGCACAGGGCCTGGGACATGTAAGCACTACCTGAGTACTTGTTAAATGAATGACTGAGCAAATGAAAGAATTAAAAGCAGACATAAAGCACAAAAGAGAGGGGAGAGAATTGATTACCCTTTTTGAAGCTTTTATGAATCTCAATTAAATCAGGATACTCTTTCAGGTTACTCTTGCTGAACAGGACTGACAGAACTGAACAGTCAAACACCTCCAGGTGGCAGAGAACCCGGTACACAACTTTCTGTACAGGAATCAAGTTTACACAGGCTTCTTGAGAATTCCGTTAAAAAAAATTCAGTGGAATAAATACACAAAATAATAGCTTTAAAGTTAAACAAAGATTGACAATGTAATTGCATAGAATACTTTCATTGTTCTCAGTGTAGACTACTATTTTTCATGTAGTACTATTTTCCTTATATAAATATTAATATATATATATATATATTTAAGACAGAGTCTCGCTGTGTTGTCTAGGCTGGAGTGCAGTGGTGCTATCTCAGCTCACTGCAATCTGCACCTCCTGGGTTCAAGTGATTCTCTTGCCTCAGCCTCCTGAGTAGCTGGGATTACAGGCATGTGCCACCACACCTGGCTAATTTTCATATTTTTAGTAGAGATGGGGTTTCACCATATTGGTCAGAATGGTCTTGAACTCCTAACCTCGTGATCTACCTGCCTCGGCCTCCCAAAGTGCCGGAATTACAGACATGAGCCACTGTACCCAGCCTAGAACTTCTTAAATATTTGATCCACTGCTTTAGAAAAACAAGAAAACCCCTACCTCTTGACTTTTGAGCTCTTATCCTGCCCGGGATGCCTCGGGAATAAATCTTACAGTGATTTCGTTGTCTGTACTGCAGTCACTACTCCCACACTCCCCACCTTCCCCCTATGATATGGGAAGTCCTGGACAGGCTCTAGGAGATCAGGAGATGGTTCTTCCCTTGCCATAAAGAACACAATAGAAAGAGCACAATCACACTGAAGACATGGCTTCCTTCTCTGCATCTCTATGGCACTGTACAAACTCACCTGAATTCCAAGGCTCCATAACTACCCAACGAAATTTAAACACTTTAGAGGAGACAACAGCAAGACAGAAATTTGCTTGTTAACAATTATAGTAGCACAGATTCTCTGGGGGTTACCTCTGACATAAGTAGACATAACAAAGCAAGACTTCTTCCATTATCTTAGTTATCGTAATTTTGTTTTATTCTTGTATGTTGTATAAATCACTACATATTTTCAGAACATATCAGTTTCACTCCAGCCATGTCATCATTATCTTCCACTCCCTCCCCAACAGTTGCTAAAAAAGAACAGGGCAACTGGGTGCAGTGGCTCACTCATGTAATCCCAGCACTTTGGGAGGCCAGGGTGGGTAGATCACCTGAGGTCAGTAGTTCAAGACCAGCTTGACTAATATGGTGAAACCCCATCTCTACTAAAAATACAAAATTTAGCTGGGCATGGTGGCAGGCGCCTGTAGTCCCGCCTACTTGAGAGGCTGAGACAGGAGAGTTGCTTGAACCTGGGAGGTAGAGGTTGCAGTGAGCAGAGATCGTGCCATTGCACTCCAGCCTCGCTGACAGAGCAAGATTCTGTCTCAAAAAAGAACAGGGCTTCAGTTAGAAATAGTGTGCCTTGTCCAGGCAAAGTGGTTCAACCTATAATCCCAATACTACTTTGGGAGGCTGAGGTGGAAGGTTCATTGTGGCCAAGAGGTCAAGACCAGCCTGAGTAACATAGCAAGGCCCCATCTCTACCAAAAAAAATAATAATAATAATAGCCAGGTGTGGTGGCACACACCTGTAATCCCAGCTACCCAGGAGTCTAAGGTGAGAGGTTTACTTGTGCCCAGGAGGTCTAGGCTGCAGTGAGCCATAATTATGCCACTTTACTCCATCCTGGGACATAGAGTAAGAAGCTGTCTCTAAACAAAAGAAGGAAGGAAGGAAGGAAGGAAGGAAGGAAGGAAGGAAGGAAGGGAGGGAGGGAGGGAGGGAGGGAGGGAGGGAGGGAGGGAGGGAGGGAGGGAAGAAGGAAAGAAAGAGAAGAGGAGGAGGAGAAAAAAAAAAGAAATAGAAGTATCTTTAATGACATCTGTTTGCCCCATTACCTTCCACCCTATACAATAAGTAACCAACGGAAAAGAGGCTTTCCACAAAAGGTATGAAAGGCCTTTCAGACAGTTAGCAGTATACTAAACTCGGAATCCAGGATGCCAAATATAAATTAATGTGGGGGCCAGACTACCACGGATGATGTAATAAGCTTCACTTACAGCATACATTTTTTCAGTGATAAAGGAATTGTCTCTGAGGCTTTCAAAAAAGGAAATAGCTTTGTTATTGCATTTGCTATCTCCACCTTATTTTCCTTGAAGTGACTGAAAAAGATCTCACAGGAAACTTTCTTCTTCTGGACCACTGCAAACATCCTAAGGAAAAAAAATACAATGAGAAAATAAACATCAAGATTTCAAGATGCCTTCCCCAGCCAGAACACTCCAGGCCCAGATAACTTCACCTGTAAATTCTTCATTTAAGAAAGAATAAAACCAATCTTACACAACCTCTTCCAGTGAATAAAGAAAAAGGGAATGTGCCCTAACTCACTGGAAAAGGATAGCATAATCCTTATACACAAACCTGACAAAGACATTACAAAAATGAAAAGTACAGATTACTATCTCTCATGGACAGAGATGGGAAAACTGCAACAAAATATTAGCAAGTCAAATCCAGCAACAGGTAAAAATAATAATACATCATGACTAATTCCAGGAATGCAAGAATTCTTTAACATTTAAAAATCGGGAACTGGAGCTCGCTTCGGCAGCACATACACTAGAATTGGAAAAATACAGAGAAGATTAGCATGGCCCCTCCACTAGGATGACATGCAAATTTGTAAAGTGTTACATTAAAAAAAAAAAATCAGGAAATGTATATCACCAGATTGACAAAATAAAGGAGAAAAACATATGATAATTTCAATACACCCGGAAAAAGCTAAAATACAATAAAGTATCCGTTGATGATTTTTTAAGTCTCAGAAAACTAAGAAAAATATAATAAAGTATATAAGCAAACAAAACCTTATTGCTAACATTATACTTAAATGTGAAATGCTAAATACTTTCCCACTCAATTTGAGAACAAAACAAAGATGTCTACTGTCACCATTTCCATTTAACACTTACTAGAAATCCTAGACAATGTAATAAGGTGAGAAAAAAAAATAAAAAGAATAAACCTATAAGGGAGAAAATATAACTACCATTATTTGCAGATGACTATATACCTGAAAAATCTAAAGGAATGGATAAACTATTAGAATTAATTAATTTCGGTAAAGTGTCTGGATTCAAGGTTAATATGCAAAAATCAATTATATTTTTCTATAGGAAATAATGTTTTATATACAAGTTTAAATAAAAATAGAAAAACAGGCCAGGTGCAGTGGCTCATGCCTATAATCCCAGCACTTTGGGAGGCCGAGGCGGGTGGATCACGAGGTCAAGAGATTGAGACCATCCTGATCAACATGGTGAAACCCCGTCTCTACTAAATATATAAAAAATTAGCTGGGCATGGTGGCGCGTGCCTGTAATCCCAGCTACTCAGGAGGCTGAGGCAGGAGAATTGCCTGAACCCAGGAGGCGGAGGTTGCGGTGAGCCGAGATCGCGCCATTGCACTCCAGCCTGGGTAACAAGAGCGAAACTCCGTCTCAAAAAAAAAAAAAAAAAAAAAATAGAAAAACAATATCCTTTTCAAAAGCATCAAAACCACCAACAATAAAGATAAATCTAATAAAAGATGTACAAGAAAGTTACACTGAAAATCACAAAACTTTTGCTGAGAGAAATTTAAGAAAGCTGAAATAAATGGAAAGGTATATTTGTGGATTGAAGACTAAATATTAATATGTAAGTCTGGGTGTGGTGGCTCACACCTGTAATCCCAGCACTTTGGGAGGCCAAGGCAGGCAGATCACGAGGTCAGGAGTTCGAGAACAGCCTAGCCAACATAGTGAAACCTCGTTTCTACTAAAAGTATAAAAAATTAGCTGGGCATTGTGGTGGGCACCTGTAATCCCAGTTACTAAGGAGGCTGAGGCAGGAGAATCACTTTAACCGGGAGGCAGAGGTTGCAGTGAGCTGAGATAGCACCACTGCACTCCAGCCCAGGCTACAGTGCAAGACTCTGTCTCAAAAAATACATTAATATGTAAATTCTCCCCAACTGATTGATAGATTTGATATAACTTTAGTAAAATTCAAATGGAATTCTTTGTGGAAATTGACAAACTTATTTTAAAATATAAATGAAAATGCAGAAGACAAATATTAGCCAAAAGAGTCTTGAAAAAGAATCACGGTGTTTTAACTTCACATAAAGTTACAGTAACTGAGACAACATGACACGGGCATAAAGATAAGCATATACATCAATAGAGACTGCAACAAAGAGAAATGCACACATGAGGTCACCAAATTTACAACAAAGACACTGCTATATTTTAGTGGGAAAACGGATGATCTCTTCATGAAATGGTGTTGGATAAATTGAAAACACTACCTCATTCCATATACAAAAATTAATTTCAATTCAATCATAGACCTAAATATGAAAGATGAAATAGTAAAGCTTCTAGAGTAGGTAGGATACTATCTTCTTGGCTTAAGGTAGGCAAAGATTTCTTGCAGAAGATCCCAAAACACTATGAAAGAAACCACTGACAAATTAGACTTACTTAAAAGTGAAAACTTTTATCAAAAGACACTATTAAGAAAGTGAGGAAAAGCCACAGAATGTATGAAAATATTCATAACACTCTGTATAGAAGAAGGCGTCTATTAGAACATACAGAAAGAATGTCTAGTGATTAGAAGAACACAAAAATCCCCATTTTTAAAAACAAAAATATAGGCACAATAGCCAGCATTTCATAACAGAGAATACTCAAATGACCAATAAGCATATCAAAAAAAAAAAAAGGGCTCGAAAGCATTGTTTTTTGGAGAAACGCAAAGTAAAATCTCAATGAGATACCACTGTGCCAAGGTACCACTATGCATCCACCAAAATGGCTAAGATTTAAAAAACAACGACAACAACAAAAAAACCTAGCATCAAATGTTGACAATATACTGTTTGAAACACTCCTACAGTGCTACTGAAGTGAAAATTAGTACACCCACTTTGGAAAACTGGTGGTGTCTACTAAAGCCACCCTATGACCGGGCAATTACACTCCTGGGTCTATACCAAGGAAAACAAACAAAACCAATAAAAGAAACCTCAGGCTTCAAATATCTTTGTCTCACCTAGACAACATTTGCAAGAGGAAGTCAGCATAGGTAGCATCCACCAGTAGCTCTCACTTGTCACTTTTTACCTGATTTCTCAGAGCTTAGTTTCTTCTACTTTGCAATATGCAGTTGGCTTTATGACCCAGTTCGAAGAAGTTTTGGAATAAAACTGAGTATAAGTAAATAAATATAAAAACCCACATGGAGAAAGATGACAAAGGAAAGGAGAAAAAGTCGAATCCTCTGTTCTTTTGCCTCCTCCACCTGCTGACTTCCTGGTCCTGCCAGTTTCTAGGCTGCAGAGCTGCATGGGGGATGATGCACCATCCACCACCATCTATGCACTCTCAGACCCAGGTTGGGCTTCCCAGCAAGGCTCCCAGGGACCAGAAACAAAAAGTCTGAACTGACTCAACCCAGAAAGAAGAAAAGGGAAGTGAAAGTATTAATATTCGTGAATGCCCGTGTATTTGCGAAAACTAGACCACAGATATTCTGGGTTTCTCAACTGTTGTGCAAATATGGTAGCAGGGAATTAAGAAGGACTTACAGAGTCATGCCTGGGGGGCCAGAAGAGAATGTAGCCCGAGGAGGAGGAGCAGGAGATCAACTCCACGGAGTCCACAGAGGTCAGGGGACCGTGTGTTTATGCAAAGGAAAGACGGTGGAAAAGTCTGTTTGACCAAAACTGACTGAAGTTGTTTCTAGGTGAAGTAACATCGTTGATTTTAGAGAGAAGTAAACCTCTATTTTGCCTCCTCCCCTTGCAGAGATGGCCATGGAGAAAAAAAGGGAAAGACAGAAACTTCGAAGCCTGTCTCAGGCTTATGAGTTGTTCGGGCACATTGTGACCTCAACCGGACAATTTAGACCCCAAGCATTTGGATATAGGTTGGAGGAAGCTGAACTGCTCTACATCATAAAGTCAGGGGAATTCCCTTAGAGTTTCTGGAAAGCAGCTCGGGAGGAAAAAGAGAAACCTCTGGACCACTGGGGCCAGAGGCAGGAGCCAAGTTGGTAAAAATAGCCAACTTTTTAAAGATAGTACAGATATGAGGCTTTAAAATATATATATAGCCCCAGAGACTGGGTGCAGTGGCTCACGCCTGTAATCCTAGCTGAGGGGGTCAGATCACAAGGTCAGGAGTTCAAGACCAGCCTGGCCAACGTAGTGAAACCCCCATCTCTACTAAAAATAGAAAAAAATTAGCCAGGTGTGGTGGTGTGTGCCTGTAATCCCAGCTACTTGGGCGGCTGGAGCAGGAGAATCACTTGAACCCAGGAGGTGGAGGTTGCAGTGAGCCGAGATCACACCACTGAACTCCAGTCTGGGCAACAGAGCTAGACTCCGTCTCAAAAAAAAAAAAAAAATACTTCCAGAATTCAACATTCCTCCCATTTAGAGGTGGGAGTCTGTGTCCCCTTTAATCTGGGATCTGTGACTGGTTGACCAACAGAATGTTTGAATATGGCGGAAGCAATGCTATGCTGATTTTAAGATCAGGCCTTAAACCACAGGAGGGCCCCAGCCGGCCATGTGGTGCACCATATTGGGAGTAGATGCTGCAGCTCCAGATGGGCTGCCAGGAGACACCCAGGTACAGCACACACCAGCTCCACTGAGCTCTGCCCAAACTGCAGGTGCATCACAAAATAAGATAGGACTTTTGTTTCAAATCACTGCTTTAGGGTAGTTTTTATTCACAGTAGTATAACTAGAACAGATTTTGAAGTAGGTTGCAGTTGTAACAAAAACATAAAACATGGGGTATTTGGCTGTGGGACAGAGCACTGGGTAGAGGCCTAAAGGTGTCCCAGAAGATGTCAGTGCAGTGTATGGGAAAGCGATAGAAACTCTAGTGGAATCTGGAGGAAGGAGACCTTTGTTATGTATCAGTAAAAGTTCTACCCCACAGTTCTGCTCAGAGTTCTGGTCCCTGGTTTTAGTTTTACCTGCAGTCATGGAGAAATAGAAAATGAACCTAACAAAGTCAATGATCTAGAGATATCCAGGCAGTGGAGGTCAGGACGGCTTCTCATGAGATGGGCCAAGAGGATCAGAACCGATATTATCCAGGTCTTAAGGGGTGAGATGAAGATCCAGCTACATTTATGTTTGCGCAGGGAGTTTTTCACTCGTACTCCGATGTTATTCAAGGAAGATTTGAAGTGACTTTTTTAAATACTGAAAATGTATCAGTGCAAAGTTAAAGCAAAGAAAGAATGAAAGTGGAACATAAACTAAAACCAGGGGCCAGAACTCTGAGCAGAACTGTGGGGCAGAGACGGGGAGGCAGCTGGGAGCTCTGGGGGTGCTGGAATCCAGGGCCCAAGGTGAGCAGAGGCCAGAAGCAGATGAGGATTCGGGGGTCCCAGGGGAACTGTGCTCCAGAATGATGCTTTCTAAATCATGTTCCATTGAATCTGACTTCTGTTTAAGAGGAATCCCAGGACATAAGGGTTCTGTGCCCAGATAATGAAAAATGTGGGTCAACGAGGCTTCTATCCTTCTTCTCCTGCACCGCCGACCCCTGGTTTGTATTTATCTCCCCACAAATCGGGTACAGATCCCAGCACACCAATGAGGACATCTTCACTGGTAGACAGACACATG